AAGCGCAATTTTGATTCCAATTTTGTCTGGTTATTCAGTTAACCTATTTTCAATTTTATTTAACAAAGCATAACATTTTGTTTTCTAAAGTTTGTTTCAGAACCATTCGGTTTTAGTTCGATTCCAATACTACATATGAACCAAATATTTTCAATTCGATTTGCCTTGTAAAATCAGAATCAAATGAAATTCTGTCCAGGCCTAGTTCCATAATAGGAGCCATTGAAATGATCTCTATGTGTAGTCAAGGATATAGGCAACAAAATCCCATCATTTATGACCAACTGGTCGAGCTTATAAAGAAGGAAATTATAACGAAGGTATGATACGTCATCTTAATAAGTCAGGCACTAGAGCTCCACCTGACTATAAAACTAGAGCAACCTTTCTTCAAACTCTATAGGCCATCTCAGATGCTAGCAACAAAGACATATCCACCACACATATCCCACCTATAAGTAAAGTTATGTAGCCTCTTCTTTAGATGTGTTGCGTTCTTCGATTACGACGATCCCAATCCTTACTAATCTACGACTATAAGACTAGTAGGCCTCAAAAATCAGAGATCCTGATCCAATTATTACAAAAATCGTCAGAGCTATACTCATCACACAGATGATTGTTTTGACATAGAGAGCCTTGTGAATCGTAAGGATCATAGAGGAGTTAGTCAACAAAATCCTCATCAAGCTCGAAAAAGAGACCATTCTGCTGCTTGGAGTAGGCCAACAATTGAAGCAAGAAAATTAATCTCATAGAGACGATATAGCCGAGCCCCATACAAAGACTAGCATAAGCTTCAAAAGACTTTAAGAAGTGATGTGGGCAGCTTCACCAAGACCAAAGTTATTGGAGAAACACGTCAAGAGACAAGCATTCGGCTTTTTGAGAAATATAAACCATATTTTGGAGGCCCAAACCTAGGATGCCGGACCACAAACTCTTAAAATAGCTACACAAGGAAGCTAAGAACAAGGCTTGACTAGCTATATGGTCCATATCCAACCCTATGGTTTGTACATATGATCCTAATAGCTTCACCATGGATGATATGGGGAGAAGGGAAAATTACTCCCCTTATAATGCATTAGTGGTCTGATCATTACATGAACATATCTATGGTTTTACACGAAATTGTGTTGCCCTAAAGAGGCTTCTAAGCAATGGACATATGTAACAATGACACACGTCTTGCCAAGCAAGGTAAGAATGGATGACATGGATCTCGAACCTCGGAGGGAACTACGAATGTTTCTAATTGGAGACAACCTTCAAATGGATATGGCAAGAGTACGGAAGCTTATGTGATCTAGATTCCTCGTATGATACAATTTCAATCCCAAACTGTATCAGTATCTAAGCTAGAAAGCTTTTCCTGTTGATGCCCATAAGCCTACTAAGGTGCTTCAAATTGGGAGAAACTGTCAAAGAAATGAAAGGCCCAATGGAAGGATTTCTCCACCAGAACTTAGATATTTTCGCTTAGAACATGAGGACGTTGTTGGAATTGACCTTGCGATTGCTTTCCATAAGCTCAAAATAGATCCCCACCAATAAAAGAGAATGCCTCGAATACATAGAAAGCTATTGTAAATGGCTTCATAAAAGAAGATAAGTATCCAAACTAAATTTTCTAACCCGATGCTGGTGTGGAAGCCCATCAAGAAATTTAGAATCTATAATAATTTTTGGAATGTAAATCTAGCATGTCCCAAGGATAGCTTCTCCCTGCCTAACTTAATCAATTGATGGATGCAACAGTGAGGTACGAGCTATTAAGTTTCATTGATGCATGTTCAGGTTATAACTAGATCAACATGTATCCTTCACATGAGGAGCACACTTCCTTTATCATTATCAAGGTCTCAACTGCTACAAGGCATGCCCTTTGGATAAAACATACCCATTTACCAAGAGTTGGTCAACAAGATGTTATAGAATCAGATAGGTGACATCATGAGAGTTTTTTTTTATCGGTAAATGTAAATTATCATTGATCAAAATTTTTCAAATACAAGTACACCGAGCATACCCTGGCAAACAAAAGTCAATATCACATAAAACTATTCTGAGCATACCCGGGAGATACAAAATAAGTGAAGTGTGTAACAAGTCAATGACCTAACACTAAGGACTCGAAATGGATCGAGACACCCGGATACAAAGAAAACATAACTTTGTATACATATGTCTTGATCTGTCTCACGATGCAATCCAAGTTAGGTGAAAGGTCTTCAAAAATCTTCCTATTACGTGTTAACCAAATGTAGTAGACGATACTTGCAAGTGCAATCCTCTTTGCCTTGCTTTGCCATGATGTCCCACGAGCCTCTTTTTTCAAACACTTAAGAGCGCTAATAATTGTTGACATGGATCTTTTGATGCTGAGCCACTCTCTAATATTCCCCCATAAGGACGAAGTGAAAGAACATTCAAAGATTAGGTGACATCCCGTCTCCACCATATGCTTACAAAAAACACAATTACGATCAATATCCAAAATTTGCAATTTGTCTTTCATTAGGAGTTTAGATTGAACCCCTAACCAAAGAAAAATAAGTGCTTCAGACTAATGCTAGATTTCCAAACATCACCCGCCCAGACCTTCCTTGAACCTTTCGACCTGAAGAAGTGATAGGCAGATTTTGTGCTAAACTTTTCACCTATCAATCAGCCTCTAAATCTGTCCAGATTTTCCCGTTTTCGGTCCCTTTCTTGTGCAACCACAGCCCGCTGTGTTGAGGCTAATCCAACGGCCACAAACAGATTTGTTTCTCTCCCCCCTGATCGAATGATATAGTCTATCCATAAGAAAAAACCTGGGAGGCACCAACATTTTCCAACAATATATCTCTAATTTCCAGCAGTTTTTTGAAGAGTGGAGAATGATCTTTCCTAGGTAGAATATTTCAAATGCAAGTCCCTTTAAGATAAACTTGGTGCAACCAACATATCCATAGTGTGTCCTTTTTATGTTGAATATTCTAAAGAGATTTAGCAAGTACAACTAAATTCTAACTCTTCATGTCTTTCAACCCAAGACCCCCTTCCTCTTTCGGTAAGCAAACATCTTTCCAAGCAACCAAAGGTTTTTTGAAGCCCTAGAAAAATTTTCAGCAATGAATAATAATTCTTGAAGTAATTGTAGCCGATATAGGAAAAATAGAAAGCCAAAAGCATTCCTAATAAGTTCCAATTTACCGGCATAAGATAAAGATGAGCAATTCCAAGCTCCAATATAAGCCACAATTTTGTCAAGGAATGGAGCATAACAACTCACTTTGAGCTTCTCCGAAGTAAGAGAAATAGCCAAGTAACTGAAAGGCATAATACCTTTTGGGAAATTCGTGAGTTCAATGATATTATCAAGCTCAGGCCCATAAATCCCAGTTGTATACAAGCTAGATTTTAAAGTGTTTATCTTCAAACCTGATGCAAAACCAAAGTTAGCAAGGCAATTCATAAGAATTTGCACCGACATAACATCTTCCCTTGCAAAGAGCATCAAGTCATCTTCAAAAGCCAAATGAGTTATCTTTAAGAGACCACATTTAAGGTGATAATTAAATTCACTATCATTTGTAGCATCCTTGATCATTCTAGAAAAATATTCAAGATAAAGCACGAAGAAAAAGAGGGATAGCAGATCACCTTGCCGAAGAACTTTCCCACCTTTGAAGAATCCATGAATACTCCCATTCAAAGCTACAAAATACGCTGGAGAGGTAACACATTACATAACCCATTGTATAAATCTTGAAGGAAAGTGCAACCCTTCAAGTACACCTTTAAGAAAATCCCAACTTTCCGAATCATAGGCTTTCCTTATATCAATTATTAGGAGGCATGTTGGAGCAACCCTCTTTCTATTATACCGTCTCATGAGTTTTTGGGCAAGATTAATATTTTTCGTTATACTCCTACCTCCAATGAGCGGCTTGTGCTTGATCCACAATGTCTTCGAAGATATGCCTCAATTTAGAAGCAATGATTTTAGTAATCACTTTATATATAACATTACAACAAGATATCGTCCTATAATCCCCAACACTAGGTACATGACTTGACCTTGGCACCAAAGTAATGAGCGCATAGTTGATTTGTTTAATCATGGATCCTGATGAAAAGAATTCCATGATAGCCTCCACAAAATCATGTTCAATATACCCCCATACATTTTTTGAAAAAACATGAAGTGTAACCATCCGGCCGGGGAGATTTATCATCTCCAATCCTAAAGAGAGCTTATTGATCTCATCACTAAAAATGTCCTGGATCAATGAGTTGCCTTGTTCCAAAGATACCAAAGGCCCCTTGCTAATAATGTCCATGTCAATCGGCCCAACCGGCTCTTTTTCCCAGCAAGTTGGTATAAAAATTGACAAATTCCAAAGCAACTTGGTCTTGTGAAGTAGTATACATTCCATCCTCCTTAAGAATAGTAGAAATAAAGTTTCTACTTGTGTTCCTTTTCACCACCGAGTGAAAGAATTTTGTACACTTATCACTTTGCTTAAGAAAAATGCACTTAGCTTCTTGATAATGAAAGCTTCGTTTCGTTTCACATAATCCCACGACTTTCTTTCTCAAACTTGCCACCATAAGTTGATAATGCTCATTCTTAGGTTGATCATGGAGTATTAGTTGGGTAGCCTCCAATTCACTTTTAGCCTCATTTGCCCAATTAGAAATGTACCCAAAGTGCTTAACATTAAGCTCCTTCAATGCTCCTTTTAATTTGCGCAACTTCTTACAAAGAATAAATTACTTTGTTCCCACCACATTAAAATTCCAGTTGTTGGAACAATATCATGGAAGTTCTCATGGTTTGTCCACATGTTAAAGAATTTAAATGATTTTCTAGTATTCAACATACAGTCATGAATGGACACAATGCATGGAGAGTGGTCGGAAAGGCACCCAGAAGGTAAAAAATCGGCAAAGACATATGCACCATGTTGTACCCAAATATCATTCACCATGGCTCTATCAATTTTGCTTCACATCAAATTATTAGTCCCTGTATAAAGACAACCAATGGAGCGCACATCCGTGAGACCAACATGAAGGCAAAAATTAGCAAAATCTTTAATTTTATGAGTTACTTCCGCCCCATTGCTTTTCTCATCAAATTTAAGCACATTGTTAAAATCACCAAACAGCATCCAAGGTAATGACACATTTGCATTGAAATCCATGAAATCGTTCCAAAGAGGCCTCTAGCTAACAATAGTATGAAAACCATAGACGAAGCTAACAAGAAAGGTGTAGGATATTACCTTACAAGTAGCAATACAATGGATGGCTTGTGGCTTCGTCTCCAAAACTTCCAATTTGATTTTGGATGGATTCCACGAGATCAAAATCCTCCTGGCTCTATGAGTGTAAAAATTATTGACTTGCATAAAACCATTAAATCTATTCCGCATAACTTGGTTCAACTTTCGATCTCCAAGCTTCATCTCCAAAATACCCATAACATCAATGCAATGTTGATTAATGAAATCCCTAATCCCATTTTGTTTGAGGGGGGATTGAAGCCCCTAATATTCCAAGATGCAATCTTCATGATTTTGAAGCAAGGGAGGTTCCCTTCTTATTGTCAATTTTCGTTACCACTTTCCTTTGCTCATCGACCTTTCCTTTGAGCTTTTTGTTGCTAGTTTTCTTGGACTCTGCCCCTCCAGTATTTAATGTAGAATTTTCCCCCCCAAAGTTTCATTTTGACAGCCTTCAATTGCCGACACAAAAGAGGGAATGATATGTGCTGAATTTTTACCATTTTTCTTGTTAACTACCTCAACGAATGGGGCATCTACCTATCATGAATCTGGACCTGCTGGACGTCCACTTCTTCATCATGTTGCTATGCAAGATTTTGATTTAGAGGCTGCCCTTGCTGGTCGTCCTTCTCCCTATGTTGCTGCCCCTCATATCTGGCCAGTTTAACTCGAGACTGTGAAGCTATTTTAGCTGCGATTGAAGTTGTCCAATTTTTTCCTACCTGTACGTTTTTCTCATGTGCAGCCGATATGGGGGCAACTGACATCTCACCATTTGTGTACTTACCTTTGCCACCTATAGCTTGTTTGTTGTAGTTGCAACCAAGGTTGGAATGCTTGAACACTTTACAAGAACCATAAAATTTAGGTTCCTGCTTGAAAATAATTTCTTGTTCCCTTAAAGTGCCATTAGGAAGTCTTATCTTTACCATCCACACAAACTCAATAGATGCGTCAATTTCAACTAGGGCTTTTGCATAAGATAGTCTACCTCTTGATGCCGTGACCTTATCGATCAAGATGAGTTTACCAACTTTGGAAACAATCTTAACCAATGCACTTGTGTTCCAAAACTCAAATGGCAATCCCGGTAAATTTATCCAAATCGGCATAGTGCTAACGTCTTTGTCATCAATATCAAAGTAGCAAGGCATGACTTTTAACATTAACCGTCTCCCATATACCAAGTACGGATCCCCATCAACACACTTAGCCTATCCACATTTGTCTCAAATTTGAACACCAACCAGCCACTCGAGTGCACATAATATTTATAATCAACCTTCCACGAATCACATAATTGGATTAAGGCCATTTTCCCAGGAGACCCACCGGTGAAATACCCAACAAGTCCATATCCCCTAATTTCTTCTATATTGTCTTCATCTGATACACCCAATACCACTTTTTTCGATTGAAAATCGACAAGCTTTAACTTAATGTTATCCTCCATTTTCCTATTATCTTTGAAGAGGTTAACCCGTGGATCTTTACCCTCTTTCACCCCAACAATTTCAGCAACAATTTTCTCCTTTTGGTTCTTTAATCCAGACGTATGCAACTGAAAATCAGAACTATCGAATTTCGTATCCTCATCCCCAAGTGTTTGGGACACACTTGGGGACTCACAAGCTGCCATATGAGGTACCTTTGAAGTGTGCAGAATCTCGTTGGACATGGGATTAATAGAAGAGGCTTGAGATACAATTATTGGGCCAGTCGGTTGTTGCTGGGAATAAATGTGGGTACAGGTAGTATAGGGCTGTGTAGACAGAGGCCGATTCTTATGGCCAGATTTCTTACCCATCACAAACAAACAGAAAACAAAGCCCAGCAGGTGGGGCAACCCACAATGGAAAGAAATGGCACAAGGACAGAAAGGAATACAAAGAGATCCGGCCCACAAAAACTAAAATATATCTTACCCAAAATCTGTAAAAAAAAAATAAATAAATAAATAAATAAAAGAGGAAAAACCAGAAATAGAAGACAGCAAAGGACTGCAAGAATCAGAAAGCCAGAATAGAAATTGCCAAGTTTGCAAAATTCAGCTACCAACCCCTGTCTAACGCTGGTCAACAGAAGCGGCAGAGAAAACAAGGCACAAATTCAAAAACCAGCTGACAAACAAGAGTACATACACATGTATACACAACCTTGGGATGGCAAAAAGGCTTGAAGGCTCAGGCCACTAGTGGCTTGGCTTGCAAAAAGCTCGAGGCTCAGTTCTAGGCTCAGGCCGAGCTCGAGTCGGCCCGTTTGGCTCGCGGGCCGGCTCGAAAAAAAAGTAAGGCGTTAAAAGGCAGTTGCCTTTCAAAGTGAAAAAAGGGGGGGAAACGAGCAGGCTCGGTTCGGCCTGTTTTGGCTCGGAAAAGGCCTAGCATCGATTTTTCAGTCGAGCTTTTGTTTGGTTCGGCTGAAGCCAAAAAAAGCCCGTCTTCAAAAAGCCCGAGTCGAGCCCGAGCCTTGATTTTCGGCTCACGAGCCGGCTCGGCTCGACTTGTTAGCATCGCTAACACAACCTAAACCCAAGAACACCATGAACACACAGCTATCCGATAGAGAAGGAATGGACACCAAACTGGGCAGAACACAGTCCAAGAAAATCCAAGATAATCTGAATAAACTGAAGCAGAAAACCAACCAACAAAATGAAAGAAAGCTGCAGCCACAACACACAATAGTTGGATAAGCTAGCCAAGCAGGACGAACCCAGAAAAAACCAAAGACAGTGAACCAATTGCTGCAAGCTAAGGGCGAAAAAGAGAAGCCAAGAAAAACAAAAGACAAGAAGTCCCCACAAATAGCCAAAAGAACCACAAAAACCAGAACCCAACAAGAGCATAACCTAGAATGCAAGCTAAAATAAACCAGAGAGAACAACCAATAGCATAAAACAAGGACCTGAATCTAGCCAAAGCAACTGAAACCAGAATCAAAGCAGCTTGCAAGAAAACTATCTTGAAAACCAATCGAACCTGAGCTCAAACCCAGCTGGCGACTTTCAAAACTATGCAAATCTAAACATAAACGAACAGAAATGTCCACCAAAAACTAGAATAGAGAATGACCAAGTCAAATGCAATATGTTTAATTTCAATTTTTACCAAAGGGAGATAAAACTTGAACCAAAACACCAGAAAGATATCAAGAGGCAAGGAACTAAAGTGGGATTTTCTCTCACTAGAGTTTAGAGTTGAAAGCATCTCTCTCTAACCTTTTGACCGACTGGATGTCATGAGAGTTTATTTGGATGACGTGTTAGTAAAAAGTCTGGACAGTGGCTTTACAAGGGAATAGGTGATAAGTTCAAGGAGTCTTTTTAAGAGATAGGGGCTACATTTTCTATTCCCGCCGCTTGCTTTTGTGTAAATAAAAAAAATGTCAAAGCTTGAAAACTATTATGACAAGACAAGCAATCTCCAAGATCTATTCACAGATTCAAATTCACCCTCTCGATCTATCATAGATCAGAATTTTCAGATAAGTGCCGCTTTTCCTATGTTCAACTTTCTATTGTATAATGATTTTGTATTGAACATAACTCTGACTATGAAAATGAAGTTTTAATCAGTCATCTAATAGTGTACAAGACTTGTGATTGGCTAAACATTCTTTTATTTTTAACCTCTCTTTCCAAATGGTGATGTAGGAAAAAAAGGTGTATGAAATATCTGATAGCATTTTTATTGGCATGTCTATAATAAGTTTAAAAGTTAATAGTTTTCAACATAAATTTGAAAAATATGACATGTACAGTAGATTACATTTTTATACTACTTGAAGGATTTAGATGATCTAGAGATTAGAAATATATAATGGTTCTTGTATGCGGTGAAAGAATGTCTCCTTCATTTTGAACAACTAATTTTCATCATCTCCACATTTCTTGTCATGTAAATAAGATCATGTGCCTCAATACGTTAGGCAAAGTCTTGCATACTTTTGCAGCAGCGGAGGGACGAGGGGTTTGCACGCTATTTTTTCTTCTGGAGTTTGTTTGGTACCTGTGAAGAAGATCTTGAAACTGCTAAGTGATGCTCCAAAGGAATTTCTTTTCTCCAAGCTTTGGAATACAAAATCATTGAGAAATTTTGGAAAACTTAAGAAACTTACATAAAAATCTCAAGATTTTTAGCGTTATACATGTACAAATAATTGTTTTCTTACCATAATGGTACTTCTAGTCAATGTAGCCATATGCACCCAAGGAGAACAAGATACTAATGCTTCAAGAGAGTATTATTTACTATGAATGACACTACGAGAATTAATGTAGTTCCATCCAGATGGATATATAATTTGTGGAGATGGCCTTGATCACAAGGGAATTGGAGCATAAATAACTTTGAGCATGAGTAACTCCAGTGGTTCACTCTGGATAGTGGCTTTTCAAATACTAATGTGTTGCAACACACTTTCAGAGCAACTACACATGGAGTCAATGGCCACTTAGCACTCTATTATAAGGTACACACTTCAAAAGATCAAATTGGCTCTTGATTGCTCTGAGTTGGATTGATGGAGCTCTCATTGTGTGATGAACACATCTTACTTAATAGGAATACAATTGCTGACAAAACATTGGTGTGATGACAGTTGCAATGAACACATGATTATGTGATGACGAGAACATACCAATTTTGTTCCTTGATATATTTTTCCCAATTACATGCATTAAATGCGAATATAATTTATTATTATTTTTATCACCAAATACCTTGGACCCCATACATGTTAGCTGCATAACTTTTTCATAATAAACCAACATAACTGTTGTTTGACTTTGTATGCTTTAGATCCTAAGCTGTATGGCCAAACCATAGATTTTATCTTTACTTTTTTTCTCTTTTGCTATTATTATTTGGTTGACTTTCAACATATGATAGGACTTGGAATATATTTTTGCCTATAAAACTTAAATCTCAAACTGGTCATCAAAGAGTATGGCTATGGAACACTTATTGTGTACAATGAACGATAAGTATATTTTTTACACTTATATGGCTTTTAAGTTAGAGTATTTATAGATTATTTTCATGAACTATAGCTTAATTCCATGTTTATTGCGTTTGTTATGTACAAATCAATATAAATGGTAGAATTGGAGAAAAATTGTGAAAATAGGCTAAACTGTCAGAGATCCAAAGTTAAGGGCTAAAGTGTAAATACTCAAAAGTCGTGTCGACATCAAAATTAAGATTTGAGATGTGCTAGGGGTCAATCAGATGAAAAAAAAAATAAAAGGATGAAATATAGTCAAAGTATTATCATACATCAATTTCCAACCGAAAAAGCTATATTTCGAATTTTCAGTTTCATATTGACCAATTTTTGGCATATAAAATGTTCGAATTGAAAAAATATTACTCTAGAAGAATTTTAGCCCTTTACTTATCTTTCCAATGTACTTTAAATCGCCTCAATCAAATATCGAGAAAGAAAGTTATAATAAAAAATACTGAAAATTGCTCAAGACAAGCCTCGGAGCGCGCCTAGGCCTATAAAGGAGACGTGTGCCTTCTCTTCTTCCAAGGTCACCTGAAACTTGCAAACCACCTGAAGCACATGCTTCAAGTATGCTTAGGCATCCGCTTCAGTATAAAAAGGGGAAAATTTGATTTTTCTTATGTTTGTTTTGGTAACAATTCAATATAATTTTTTTTCCATTCTTTAAATATCAAAATTCAAATATCCTGGATACCGGACATCATCTGGACTTAAAATACACCTTTTTTGACCTTTTTCTTTTTGCTTAGAATGTGGGAATCCTCCATGAAATTTTGGAATCCTCTATTCAACTAAAATTTCATAATATTCTACATATTTTGGGAGGCAAAGAACAAGTCTATGCGACAATTCATGAGAATTATACAAAGATTTTGAAAATTCATAACCGGATTTCATGATTTGAGCCAAAAATGTGGATTTGTGTTACTTCCTTCTATCCTTCTTATTTTAGGGTGATACTTTTCCAATTATTCCTATGTAATTTAATTATAAGAATGTTAGACTAAATTTTTCACTACATTGAATGGTTGAAGAACCTTATTAGTTATTGCTATTAATTCAAGACTCGTTAATTTAGTAATTTCTTAAGTTTCTTGATTATTTATGTATGTACATTGTGTTGTTTGAATGTTTGATTACGATTTAGATAACTTGT